GGTTTGGGGTGTGGGGTTTGGGGTTTGGGGTTTGGGGTTTGGGGTTTGGGGTGTGGGGTTTGGGGTTTGGGGTTTGGGGTTTGGGGTTTGGGGTTTGGGGTTTGGGGTTTGGGGTTTGGGGTTTGGGGTTTGGGGTTTGGGGTTTGGGGTTTGTCTCGGAGGCTCTGCATGGTGGTTGGTCCTCCAAACCCTCTGAACTAAAACGTTTTCCCCAAACCCTGAACACGACCTTGGACGACCTTTGCTTGAAAACCCCACAAAAAACACGATTATTCTTCCTTATAAGGGCAATCTAGGGGTTATCACCTTCTATTTTTTGAGGGGCTTCTTAAGCAAATAGTAGTGGAACCACTCTGCCTTAGGGGGTCTTGCCCTGATAGCCCCTAAACCTTCGGGATCCTAAGAGCTGGCTTGGCTCTACTAGGGAACAAGAAGGGTTTGGGGTCCAGGGTTTAAGGTTTAGGGTTTACGTGTTTAGGGTTTCGGGCCCTAAACCCTAAACCCTAAACCCTAAACCCTAAACCCTAAACGCAAAACCCTAAACTGTAAACGCTAAACCCTTAGCCTAAACCCTAAACCTTAAACCTTAGACCCTAAACCCTAAACCCTAGGAAGCTTCAGCCCCACGTCGTCGCGTCGTCGCGCGGAAATTCACTTCTGAACGTCTTCGCGTCTTCGCACGCAGGTGCCCCGCCAGCTCAGCACTGAACACCAAAATCCCAAACCCGGAAATCCTGCACACAGACGCCTTGGTCACATGGAGTTGTGAAGACATCCCCAATGCCCTGGAGCCTTCCAGAGGTCTGAACGCCTTGTGTTGTTGGCTCTCGGTCTGGAAACCTAAACGGACCTAAGCCCTAAACCCTAAACCCTTGAGGGCTTCAAAGTCTTCAGGATGTAGGGAGTTGAGGGTTCTTTCGGGATTCGTGCTCGGAAGCCCTGACACAGTAAAGCTCAAACCTCAAACTGTCTGGCCCAGGGCACATCTTCTTGGGTGCACTTCCCGTCCTGCGGCCTGGCGTTTTGCAACGCGCCCGAAACCGCTGTGCTGAAGGTTTAGGGTTCAGGGTTTAGGGTTTAGGGTCTAGGGTTTAGGGTTTAGGGTTTAGTGTTCAGGGTCCCCTCTGTCCCCGAAACCCTCAACCTCGACACCCGAAATCCTGAAAGCCTTCAAATCCAAAGCTGCTGTTCGGAATGAAGGTTTTTGGGCTTGTTTAGGGTCTAGGGTTTAGGGTTTAGGGTGGTTTCAGGGTGTTTGAGGTTTTCAGGGCTTTAGGGCTTTTCGTTTGTCAGGGTTTGTTTTATGCTTGAGGGGGTTTAGTTTAGGGATTCGAGTTTTTTTTTACGACTTTAGGGTTTTGAAGGGTTTTAGGACATTTTTAGGCGTTTAGGACGTTTGGGGTTTTAGCGCTGTTTAGGGCTTTCGGGCTTCAGGGCTTTTTGGGTCCTAGGGCTTTTAGGGCTGTTTGGGCTTTTCGTGTTTAGGGCTTTAAAGGCTTGGTTTTAAGGGTTGTTGGCTTGCAGGGTTTGAGGGCACCCAAGCCTAAACCCGGCTAGGGGTTTGTGGCATTTAGGGCTTCAGGGATGGGGGTTCAGAGCTTCGGTTCTGTTTAGGTTGGGGGTTTAGGGTTTAGGGTTTAGGGTTTAGGGTTTAGGGTTTAGGGTTTAGGGTTTAGGGTTTAGGGTTTAGGGTTTAAGGGTTCTAGGGCCAGCGGTTTTAGTTCTTGGGTGTTTTGGACATAAAGATACAGAGCCGCAGGGATTTTGCAGGGGTGAACCCTAAACCCTAAACCAAACCCTAAACCCTAAACCCTAAACCCTAAACCCTAAACCCTAAACCCTAAGCCCTAAGCCCTAAGCCCTAAGCCCTAAGCCCTAAGCCCTAGACCCTAAACCGACCCTAAGCGGCAACTCCGGGAGAATCGTGGCAGCAGGGCATCAGGTGTACCACGGGAGGCACGAAGGAGTCCTGCGTCTAAAGGTTTGAGGGGTATTCGGTTTTGGGCCCGCTAAACTTAAGCCTGGGGTTTGGGGTTTGCAGATCTGGGATAGGAGTGGGTTTTAGGGTTCAGGGTTTTCCGGTAGTTGAGGTGTGTAGTAAGGACCTCATGGTGAAGGGTTGGGCAGGGGCATGCTGGGTTTTAGGGCTCAGGCTCCAGGAAGTCTCGATCCAAAACCCTAAGCCCAAAGCCGTTAGCAAACTTCACTTGAAGAGCCCTCAACTGCAGAGGTATTCTTAGAGGTATTCTCAATGATGGGCTTCGGTTTCTTGGATAATCCTGTCCCCTGCTATCATACCCCCCCCCCCCCCCCCCGGGAAGAAGCCCAACCCTAAACCCAAAACAACAAGGGGGGGGGGGGGCAATTTCTGAGAATCGACCTCTGGAGGGGGGCCCTAAACCCAATCGGAATGTTCTTCTTGAAGGGCTTCAAAATCCCCCAACCCCTAAACCCTAAACCCCAGACCCTACACCCTCATCCCTAGACCAGAACATATTCATCCCAGACCCTACAACCTCATCCCTAGACCAGAACATGTTCACCCCAGACCCTACACCCCAATCCCTAGACCAGAAGATATTCGCGTGCCGCGGGAGGCCTTCAAGTGCGACATGTGGATCTGCAGTGCGCAAGGGCTTGGGTGGATCGGGGGGATGCCTCGAACTATGGGTTCGAGAGGACATGGGTAGTTTCCTAAATTAGGGTCCCTCTTTGGGTACCCATTACAAGGCGGCACCCTTTAAAAAGGGATCTCAAAAAGGGACCCTAATTTAGAGAACTACCCACATAGGGGTTAGGGCTTAGGTGCAGGGATTAGCTGGGACTCCATCTACCTACAGTCTTATGAGCTATGCCTACGAGTTGACTGCTGAACTGAAGGTACGACAGAGTCACAGGCAGGGCCCATAGAGCTTTGAACAAAAGTTCCAAGCCAACCACAATGAGGACGGCAAAGCGCCCAAGCCAACGGCAATAAGGACGGCAAAGCGCATTTGACCCTCTGAGCTTGAAACCCTGAACCCTAAAGAGCTGGGGGATTGTGGCCCATGGAACTTCGAAGCTTTCGGCTTAGTGTTTCAGATTTTAGGGCTCGGGGCTTTCAGGTTTTCAGGTTTTAGGGGTTTCGGGTCCAGGGCTAAGGGTTAGAGTTGAGTTGAAAGGATTTACTTCTATCTGCCCATGAACTACTTCCCTAAACCCGAAGCCCTAAGCCCTATAAAACCCCTAAACCCTAAACGTTCAAGTGCTGCTACTTCCCCTTGTTTGCCAGTTCCCTGAAAAGCTAGATCACATACCCTAGACTGTAATTCTGATTCAGGTTGTATGAAGGTTTAGGGATTAGGGTTTCGTGTTTAGGGTTCATTGCGTTTATTGCTTCACGCTAAAAGCGTCGTGTTGTGGGTTGAAACGATGCTAAGCAGGCAAGGCAAAACGGCCTAAGCTCAGGGAGGCCTTGAAGGTTCATGGGCGTTTAGTTGTGAGAGAAATTTGGGTTTAGGGTTTAAGGTTTAGGGTTTAGGGTTTAGGGTTTAGGGTTTAGGGTTACCCTGAAACCCATGTTCAGCCGAGAAACACTAAACTGCCCTGCACACCCTAAACACCCTACTTGGAGGTTCATGGGTAGTTTGGAGGGTTTTTTTAGATTTGGCAACTATAGATACAACTGGCAATAAGCTTATTTAGGGCATTTGAAACCCTACTTGCAACTGCCCAGATATATGTAAGGTAACCATGGCATTTCCTCATTTAGGGCACTTATAACCCTACTTGCAACTGCCCATGAGCCTTCAAGTAAACTAATTCATAATATTTCCTTATGGTCCCTTTGAAAAATTGACAAGAACTATTCAGGCCCCTATATTACACACCCTAAACCCTAAACCCTAAGCCCTAAGCCCTAAACCCTAAACCCTAAACACCCACAAGGCCTGGTAGGTGCGGCTTAGGACATTCTTCGACCACCTGCGTTCCAGCCAGCTTCTGGAAGTTTCCGGCTTTTGGGGTTTTTCAAAGGCTTAGGGTTTAGGGTTTAGGGTTTAGGGTTTAGGGCGGCTTGGGGTTTAGAACCCAAAGCCCAAGGAAAGCGTATCCCAAACGTTTGCACCCTGAACCTTAAACCAACTCTTCCTAACTGGGGCTACAAGTCGGGGAACAACAGGCGTCAATAACCCTAAACCCTAAACCCTAAACCCTAAACCCTAAACCCTAAACCCTAAACCCTAAACCCTAAACCCTAAACCCTAAACCCTAAACCCTAAACCCTAAACCCTTGCTCTGGTACCTGCAGCACTGCTTACAGCTACCCATCCTCAAGTCGACCTGCCGAAGCAAGGGATAGGGTTTAGGGTTTAGGGTTTAGGGTTTAGGGTTTAGGGTTTAGGGTTTAGGGTTTAGTGTTTAGGGTTTAGGGTTTAAGGGTTTTAGGGTTTAGGGTCTACGTATGGTTTTTGGGCTTAGGGTTTCGGGTTTCGGGTTTAACTCAACAACTCAACTTCACTTGACGTCTCGATTGAAGGCCCTAGGTTGGCCCATTAAACAATCTGAACAAATCCTAAAATAGACTCCTCTTAAACCCAAGAAGGCAAAATACAAATGCCCCAAAGGCCTACCCAGGGGCGGGTTAGAAATGGCTTGACGCCCTAAACCCTAAACCTTAAACCCTAAACCCTAAACTCTAAACCCCCAACCCTAAACCCTAAACCCCAACCCCCACTTCTAGTTACCCATGAAACTCCAAGTACTAAACTCACATGAAGGAGCCTGGAGTTAGCGTAGAGGCACTCGACCATCCACGTCACCTGGGCCAGCTCTAGGGTTTAGGGTTTAGGGTTTAGGATTTTGAACGGAGTTTAAGGCAGAACTAACACTGCAGGTGCAATCACTTTTGACGGCTTGAGCCAATGTCGCATGTGTATGCTCACTCATTGTGAAACATGTTGTGTGACACCTACAAATCTAAACACCCCTCCTAAGCCAGGTGGTCATTTGACCCATTGGCTTCACACGAGCCGTTTGGCTGCTCCGGCTCGTCCAACATGAAAACGCAATCCCATGTTCTTGAGGTGTTTGATCATTGCCACTTCGGGCATTGGTTTGGTGCAGATGTCGGAGTAGTTCTTCTCCGTGCCTACACGCTCTAGCTCCAGAGCTCGCGTGGCGACTTTCTCTTGCACCCACAAGTATCTTGTTTGCACGTGGCGTGCTTGACCCAGGCCCTGGCGCTGGGTAGTGCCTCGGGCCGCCGAGGAATCAGATCGAATCCGCAGACCGACCTTTAATCCCCAGTCTTCTAGCATCGCCTGTAGCGACAGACCTATGGACCCTGCTCGAACTATAGCGTAAAACTCGCTCTCTCCACTCGAGAGGGAGATCGTGCTTTGCACGTTGCTTGAGTGTTTCACGCAGTGCGATCCAAGCATTGTCACTAGTCCCGTGGTTGACCTCCGCGTGATGAGGCAACCAGCGTGGTCTGAGTCGCAGTACATCACAATCTCTTTGCTGAACCGTTGCGGGTGGTACTCGTAGATCAGCCGTGGTTTTCCGCGTAAGTAGCGGACAAGCCTCTTCAGATCGGCCCATGCCCACTCTGTGGGTTCTTTCATGTGCCGTGCTAAGCTCTTCGTAGCCTCGGCAATGTCTGGACGGTCCTGCGCAAGGAACGCTGCCCTCATCGTATGAGACCGATATGCTTTCTGAAGTTCGGCATTCAACGGCTGTGCTTCAAGCATCGCTTTCAGGTCACTTCCCTTTTTCTTTTCTGCTGGCGTTTTGGCCGCCTTCGCAGACTCCAGTCCAAGGTCGCGCACTAGGGCTTCCGCGTGCCTTGGATCCGCTTCGTACGTAACAGTTCCTGTCTGGCTGTCATAGCTCACGACCCGGTTCAGGACAGTCATGCTATCCTTTTCACACTCAGGTCCTATGTGGCCATCACACTTGAACTCGTACTCTTCAGACAGTACTTTGTCTACAAAGCGATGTCCATCTTCGTCTGCCAAGACTAGGAAATCATCCCCATGCACCAATAATCTCACGTCGGCTTCGGCATGATAAAAGGTACACGGATATGCTTTTCCCACGACAAACCCGTGCTTGCGTAACAGGCTTGTGTACGATCTCTGCCATACAGCTGAGGCATCACGGGTGCCATACATGGTCCGTTTCAACAGACCACAAAAGCCGGGAGCTTCATCTCCCTCGGGAAGTGTGACAAACACACGTCGTTCTGCTTTTCCATAGAAGTGTGCACGTGATATGTCTGTCAGCTTCAGCGTGAGCTTCTTTCCGCTCTTTGACCTCTTGAGTGTCGTCAGCAGACTGCATAGGATCTTCAACCCTTCCAGAGGTGGCATTGAGGAAAACAGCGCGTAGTCTGGTATCAACGCCGCTTGTCCCTGTGACTTGACCTCGCGGACTACCAAACGACTGCGGTAGTTTTCCCGAACATCATCCCCTTTGTTGCGGTCTACCCACTTCAAGGTTATGGGCGGACGACCTGTTTCGTCCCAACACACGCTCTCTTCGACTTTCTCGTACACACCTTGCTTTTTCACCCAGGCAAGTTCTGACGCTCTTGCTTCCGCAACCTTTCTGGCATCAAGTTGTGCCCCTGTGTTTGCGTCTATGACGGGCTCGCTTACGTGAAGCTGCCCAGCCTTGGGTAAGGTATCATGGAGATACTCTTCGAGCGGTGGCTCCTCGTGTGGGTCAGGTCCACCCACATGGCCCACCTCCTTCATTTCTCCATCCAGAACCAGTTGTGCTCGCACTCCTGCCAGTAGTGCTCTTTCAAGCTTCGGAGGATACTCGGCCTTGGCCGTCACGATCCCCTCCTTGAAGCTTAGCGTTCGGTTCCACACCTTCGCATTGCCCTTGCATAGCTTTTCCAGCGCTGTTGCAACCGTCGCCGAATTAGTAATCCAGCGGGTTCGCTTCTTGCCGGATTGGCCTGCAATCATTTTTCCACTTTCGTCAACTTTCCACTTGCACATTGGGCCTTCAACCAAGTACGAACCCATCCTTTGAGCAAGTTCATGCTCCCAGGACTTAGTTCCCCTTGGGCACTCATAGAGGAAGTAGTTTCCGGCTTCCTTCTGTGCCTCGAAGGCCTCAAAGCAAAGCCCCAGTTGAGATCGGGCCTTCCTCAAATTTCCGCGTTTGGTCTCGACTCCAATCTTGTTGGTCATGTCGAAAGCACGTTGTACTGACTGGAAGGGTCCAGTGGGCAGCTTGCCCACCAGAAGCTTTGGCTTCACTTGTTCCAGCTTTTCGAAGAAACGCAAATGCTCAGCCTGAGCGAACATCGGCGGCTCTTGGTCCATTGGCAAGATAATGCCTTCATTCACCATGCTCCAGGGCACAGCTGAATTGCCATTACCTCCCAACTGTAGAACCATAGAGTTTATGGCCTTCGCTTCGGTCGGGCTGCACTTGAGCCCCTTTTGTTCGAACATCCGCGTAATCAGGTTCATTCGCACTTCCTCGTTGGCTGGTGGCGGATTCGCCGTTGCTGTGTCGTACATTTCTGCATCTGCTCGTGCTTGTTGGTGTGAGTGGTCCAGGCCGGGTCCTGCAGAGCCACTTGCTCCCCCTTGCACGTGTACTCCAATGACCTCGACATCTGGACCATCGGTAGCCCTCGTGCTGGGCTCTTCCCGGTAAAGGTCCTCGACGTCCTTGGACGCTGCGCGCTTCCGCTGTTTCGGCTCGGCGCGGTCCTCGACCTCCATTGGTCTGGACAAAGGTGCGCCTGCCGCTTCCTCTGCTGCAACATCCATTGCGTCGGGGGCAGGTCTTCCTTCCAGCGCGGGTTGGTCTCTTTTGACCCGCTTTCCGTAGTCCTTTTCAACTCGCTCTTGGGCCCTTTTCACTCTTTCTTTTCCCTCGTCGGTTTCTTGCAGTCTTCTCTGCACTCTCATCCTGCACTCGTCATTGTGCGCTCGCTGCGGGAGACCCATCAGCTGCGCATCGCATCCCGGACACTGAGGCGTGTAGCCGTACAGCTCAATGTCGGACTTCATGACGTACAGGTTGCGTGCCTTGAAGTCTCGGTGTTGTGGCGCGGGTTGTTCGCCTTCGAGAGCGGGCATACCGACTCGGTTGGGCGACGCTCGCTCTTGTGGACCGGACATCCTCCAAGGCAATCCGCGTAGCACGTCGAAACCTTCAACAGGCCATTTCTCATCCTCGGGCCTCCTGTGCAAGGAGTGGCCCCGGGATATACCCTCGGACGTCATGATCAGCAAGTCTGCGTTCCTCGACGCAGTTCCGACGTAACGTCCCATGCAAACTCTTGCATCTAGGCTTCCTCGCTTGTGTCTCGAACCAACTGGCTTGAACATCACCTGTTCGCCAAAGACAATGGTAGGTCGCCTCCACGGTCGGCCCAGCGTCCTTTCGTAAGCTGACTTCCCGTCTTCGCCAATGCGAAAACGTGTCATCAAGAACGCTGCATGCCTCGCGATCCAGGCGAGAATCGGGTGGTCCACGCCCACCTCGATCTTAAGCTTTGTCTCCAGCTCCGACAGGATAGCTCGGACCATTCGCTTCACCTCTCTCACTGCGGCCTCGGCTATGCCGTTCGATGGCGCATTCTCGTGTTCCGTACTTGTAGGACTCTCTCTCAAGTCGAACACTACATTTTGGACTTCTTCGGAGGCCTTGAGTTTGAGCGCACGGAGGGCGTGTTCATTATCTGAGAATAAACACATCCTCTTCCATCCGGCCTCGCGTATCACGCTGGCCAACCACGTGACGTTGTACGCATGCGTGCCTTTCTCGGGCAACGAAGTTGCCCAAGTGCGCTGCGTTTTGTCGCACCGAACCACCAGGTGCGGCATCACGTCGTCTTCCTGCTTTTCTTTGCCCAGGAAGAAGTAGTCCATGTGTAGCGTCGGCAAAGATGTCTCAAGTTCGGCTCTCCGAATCCGGTAATGTGGATTCACCATCTTTCGCGCTCTCTGGCAGTGGACGCACCAGGAACGGTGCACCGCGTGCCCCGAGGCTTCGTGCTGTGCGATCTGGTCAGCCGTTGGCTGGTCTGGGCTCTTCGGCACTATCGCCCTCTGTTGTTCTTCGCCTGGAGCCTCCGGCTCCTCGGCAAAGCGGTCGTCTTCAGTGCCTCCTTTTTCCTCGCTTGGCTGCTGCTGCTGTCGTTGCTGTTGTGCTGCTGGCGCTGCTGCTGGCACTTGTATGCTTGCGCTTGCTCCTTGTTGTGTCGTCTTCCTCTCTTTCTTCTCTCGCTCTCTCTCTCTCTCTCTCTCTCTCTCTCTCTCTCTCTCTCTCTCTCTCTCTCTCTCTCTCTCTCTCTCTCTCTCTCTCTCTCTCTCTCTCTCTCTCTCTCTCTCTCTTCTTGTCTTCCTTGGCTAACACCTTGAGCGTTGCCTTTCCGGCGGCTTTCCTTTTTGCCGCTTCCTCAACCATCTCAGCCTCTTCGTCTAGGGGTGAAACGCTAAGCCCGTTGGGCCTTACACCGTCTACGGACGCCCCGTGAAACCCAGGCCGTCTTGGCCCTTGCTTCCGCCCTTCACTCCTTTCTTCTCGTCTTGCAGAGGAAACACGTAGATGCCGTTCTTCACTTGCATCTTGGTTCCGACACCCTTGTGCTTCCAAGCCAACTGGCGCAACGCCTCGTCGGCCTCCTTAGCGAAAGCAGTTCCTTTTGGGACCAGCAAGCCTCCTGTTCCGTGCAGAAACGCAAAATGCGTCTTGCACGCCTGTGCTCCTGACAGGAGTATGCGGTGGACCCCGGCGCCTCGGCCGGTGATCGTGGCCCCACGGCCTCCCGACAAAGTGCCGGTGACCTCGGCTTTTCCTTGGTCTTTCAGCGCCTCACCTGACGCCGTCTTGTAGCGGACGCCGTTGTCCTTTGGCTGCGTCACGTACTTCTCAGGCAGAACGGTCACGGCCGCTCCCGTGTCAAAGTTGACCTCGACGCTAGCCACGCCTGGCGAAGCGCCCAGGCTGGCAGCATCCACGGTCTCGAAGCTGTGCACCGATTGGCGCACGCCTCCTTCGCCCGGGTCCTCCGGGTCTTCTCCTCTTGGGTCGCGGCGGTCGTCGTAGTCTTCACAGTGCACAGTCTCTTCGTCGTCGTCTTCGCTTTTCTTGACCTTCTTCTTTCCTTTGTGCTCTGGATCCCAGGTCGACCCAAGCTTCCTCTTCAGCTTGTTGCGCCTTTGGTTTCTCTTTTGGTTCCTCTTCTTCTTCTGCTCGGCCGCAATCGACGGGTCCGCCGAGTAGCGCCCGGTCGCCTTCGGCCTTTCCTGCTTTTCGAGCTCCTTCCGGTAGAGCTCCTCCTCGTCGTCGGCATCCACGCGGTGGCTCGTCCTTTCGGCTTTCGTGAGGGGGCGGTAGTCCTTTCGCCGCTCGGGCTTGGCCTCCGTCCCATCGCTGTGGATAACCTCCGTGTCGATGCCGTCGACCTCTTCCTTCTGGTTATCGCGGAAGTCGCCCTTTTTCACTTTCACGTCGTGCCGGGCGTGCCACTTCTTGTCGGCCTCGATCCTCTCCTTTGCTCTTTCGCCCACACCGCTGCGTCTGTGCTCTTGCGCTCTCCTTCGTCCCTTTTCCGCACGCCAAGCCTTCCAGTGGCTGTCTCCCTTTTCCACTTGGCGTTTGTAGCGCACGTCGTGCACCGACTGGTCTCTGCGGTGTTCGGGTTCCTTTTTCTTCACGCCCGCTTGCTGCGCCCTGAGGCGCTCACGCTCCTCTTTCAGGCGCTTCCGCTCGTCTTCCAGGCTCGCGATCTCGGCTTCCAGCTCTGGGTCACTGCCGCGTCCCTCGAGCTTCTCTCTCTTTGTCGCGATCCTCTGGTCCAAGACCGCGAGGTTCGCACGGTTGGTCTCCATAAGACCCGACGCCAGCATCCTCTGCATGCTGCTCGAGGTGCTTGCCGTGATCGCGGTTGCTCCTTCGGTTCCTTCTTCCTGCTTTGGTGGCTTCTTCTTTTCTTCCTTCTTGGGTTCCTCGGGCCCCTCGCTTGGAGGGTCATCCTCGAAGTCGCTTTCGTCCTCGGAGCTCTCCGGCTCCAAGGAAAACTTGTCTTCTTCTTCTTCTCCACCAGCGGCTTCTTCCTCCCTTTGCTTCACCTTCTCGGCTACCTTTGCGCTCCTCAGTTCAGCCTTGCTGGGCCTGTCGGCCCTCACAAGCTTTTCTCTTTCGAAAACTTTCCTGGCGTAGTGGGAGCCCGCTGCTTTTGCAGCTGCTGCCTTGTACTCCTTCATCCTCTTCTTCAGCAGAAGGGACGCTTTGCTCCTGAACTTTAGTCGCCTCGACACGCAGGTGGAGCAGGCCTCGCCTTGCTTCTTCAGTAAGGACTCCCCGACGGTGCCTCTGGGCTTCTTGTCTCGTATGGCATCTTGGTGGGCCACACGTTCCCTGAAGCGCATTCCTGCCCAAGACGCCGGACTCCTTAGAAGCTTTGGCTTTGCCTTCGCCACAGGTCTTTGGCTCCTTGAGGCTCCCCACTTCGGCGCTGTGGTAGCAAGTTGTCTCTCCACCTCTTCGCTTCTTGGCTGCACTTCTTCACTTCTAGGTGGAGGCTTCGAAGGTGGTGACTTTGGTTCTGTTCTCTTCGGCTCTACCTTTGGCTTCGAAGGTGGTGACTTTGGCTCTGTTCTCTTTGGCTCTACCTTCGGCTTGAGAAGCGGACTTTTGGTCCTGGAAGGCGGTGGTGACTTCGGCGGTGTTCTCGGCCTTTCTTGCTTCGCCTTTGGAGGGGTCTTGGGCTCAGGCACTGGTGGCTCCCGGTAGCGCGAAACGCGCTTCCAGGGTGCCGTGTCCAAAGCCTTAGACCTCACCTCCTTCTTCTCCTCTTTCTTTCCGGCCTTTGGCTCACGCACTCTCTCCGGAGGTCCTCGCGACGAAGACGAAAACGCTCCGAAGCTGGACTGCCCTGGCACCTCGCCGCGGGAACGTCTCCTGGCTTCTGCCAGCTCTTCCGCTTCCTGAAGAAGTCTTTCCTGGCGACGTCTCCTCGCAAGTTCCACCTTTTCCTTCAGGTCTTGGAACTGACCCCTTGCTCTGTCCATTTGCTCTTCCAGAGCTTCTAGCTCCTTTTCATCCTCGTCTTTTTCCTCCTTTGGAGGAACCTTCCTTTTCGGGTTCTTTGGCGCCATGGCCCCAAGCACGGTCGGGCCGGAGCCCTCTTCCCTACTTGAGCCACGACTGCCGGGGTCTGGCTTCGACTCTTTCTTCTTCTTCTCTTTCTCTCTCTTCGGGCTCTCTCTTTCTAACGCTCCCACGTAGAGGTTGTTTGTTTCTGCTTCCTCCCAACCGTCCTCCCAGGTTTCTCCCCAGTCTCCGTCTTCCCAGCCTTCATCCTCTTCTCCTTCCTGCCAGTTCTCGTCCTGGTTTCCTTCTCCTGTGTTCTCTCCTCCTTCTTCTATGTTTCCTACGTGTTTCTTGTTCTTGCCACCTTTCTTGCCTTTTCCCTTTTTGCTTTTTCCTTTCTTACCTTTTCCTTTGTCCTTTCCTCCTTTGGGGCTCCCTCTTCCTCCTTTGCTGCTTGGTTTTCCTCCTTGTTGCCCTGGACCTTTGGGTGAGCCCCGTTGCTGCTGCGAACCTTTGCCTCCATTGCTCCAGCAGTCGCGGGCATAGTGTCCGCTCCTGCCGCAGTTGTGGCACACGACCTTGCTTGTTCCTTTTCCTTTGCCTCTCTCCACATACGACAGGTCCATAGGATCATCCTTGCTCGCCGCACTGGCTGCGGCTGCAGAAATCACCTTCAGACTCTTTCCTGTCTTGTACTCGATGAAGCGAGTCACCTCGTCGAGCACGTCGTCGTACGTGGAGAACCGGCTCTGGTTCAACTGGATGTGAGACTCCAGCTCCTGTGGCAACATTGCCTCCAGTGCTGCCATCTTTATCTCATCAGCCAGGGTCGTTCGTCGCCCTGTGCTGTCCTTGCGCTTCTCGTAAGTGCGCACAGCGTCGGCCCATTCCTCGATGGCCTGAGGGAGATTCTCCAGCTTCTGCTTCTGGGGCGATATAATCGCTCTCAACATCGTGCGCTTCCTGCTTGCAGTCGCAGGATCGTATCGCCTCGTAAGGCGTCTCCATGCCTCGAACCCGTTGTTCTGGCAATTGCACACGATCGTAAATGGTTCCTTCGAGGTAACCATTTGGAGCGCGTTCGCGAGCTCCCTCGACTTTTCTTGCAGTCTGGGAACTCGATCCGCCTCCAACGCCTTTTCTCCAAAGGCTGTGTCCAACTCCTCCGAGGAGAATGGCTTCTCCCTCTCTTCGAGCCACTCTAGAACTTCTTGCAGATCATGGTGGATCGAACAAACGTAGCTCGACATTCGATGCCTCCATGGTTGGAACTGTTCACTCTCACCTGAGAAGGTCGTCGGCTTTCCCAGGCCCTTTGTGTCGACCAAACAGAGCTTCTCGTTTGGTCCTCCTTTCTTTGCCATGGCCTCAACCAGTTCCTTGTTCGACTTGACCATGTCGCTCACCAACTGTGGCATCGTGCCCATCTGAGCCGTCGCCTGCTGCACTGCCGTATGCGCTTGTGCTCGCACTTCCGCAACTTGAGCTGCACTCTCTTGCCGCACTCGCTCAAGTGCTGTGCTTTGCTCGGCCCTTAGCCGATCATTCTCTTCGCGTTGCCTTGTGAGTTCGTTTCTCAGATTCACAAGCTCCTGCATCACTTGCGCTGCAGTCACTTGTGCCTGTTGCTGTTCCTGGCTGCTCATCGCAAACGATTAGCCAGCCGACGGCGGAACTCGCTGCTTTGGACGAAAGTCTGGAGATGCTGGCCCAGGAGGCCCCAAATCCTTTGCAGTCGCCTAATCCGATAGAGTAAACGGATCAAGCGTTCCCAGCGGTGCACAGCGGGAGCTTGCACCACAGCAAAGCCTTCGTTGTCACTTTCAGCACTTTCGTCAGCAAGGTCGCGTCTGCTGTCCATTCAAACCGACAGCTCCGCTACCATGAACGGAGTTTAAGGCAGAACTAACACTGCAGGTGCAATCACTTTTGACGGCTTGAGCCAATGTCGCATGTGTATGCTCACTCATTGTGAAACATGTTGTGTGACACCTACAAATCTAAACAGATTTAGGGTTTAGGGTTTATTTAGGGTTTAGGGTGTAGGGGTCTAGGGGTCTAAGGGTCTAGGGATTTAGGGGTGTTTGGTTAGGGCGTAGGGTTTAGGGTTGAGCGGGCTTAGATCCCAAGTTGGTTACACACCGTGTACGTATAGCAGCCCTACACCCTGAACCCCGCACTGAGGAACCTGTAAAACATCAGAATGCTAGCACCCTTAGAACAAGATGAGAATATATTTTGTTTGAGGTATGTCATCATTTAAGCACAGAAAACTCCTCAGAGGCCTACAAAATATCTACCTGGGCCACCTAAACCCTAAACCCTAAACCCTAAACCCTAAACCCTAAACCCTAAACCCTGAACCGTAAACCCTAAACCCTAAACTCCAAAGCGCTTGCCGGTCGGCCACGTGGCCGACCGCAGCGACCCCTTGGCCCAGGGGCTCAATTGCACTCGCACATACAGTACGCTTGAACAGCAATTCTTCTGTGCCATCAAGCGTTCAGCTGTGCCACCACTAAGCATTGGGTCATAGCCAGTAATTACTGACCTTACACTCTAAGAGACACCCTAAAGTTGCGAACGGGTGTCCTAATCGGTCGTTTTTCAATGGTTTAGGGGCAGGTTGTCAATGAGTTAGAGGCCGGTCTCAATGATTTCGCATTGTTTTCTATGATTTAGGGACGGATTCTCTATGGGTTAGGGGGGGGTTCAGAGGCCCACGCCAATTTTTTAGGGTTTAGAGGCCAAAATCTGGCAAATGAGGGGGTCATTTCTGCTGTATAAATTCGATTTAAGACTAACCGGAAACGGCTGCTTTTTCCCGAATCGTGGAGTACTCCCCACGGAGCCAAACTCTCTCTATGGTTAAGGGATGACTTTCTATGGTTTACGCTGAACATTCTATGGTTTAGCACCAGGAGCGGCGAAACCATAGAGATTCCTGCGGTTTTCTATGGTTCAGAGGCCCACGCCAAAGAATTCTATTTAAGACTCAGCTGGAAACGGCAACTTCTTCCCGAATCGTGGAGTACTCCCTACGGAGCCAAAGTCTCTGTATGATCTAGGGATGACTTTCTATGGTTTAGGCTGAACACTTCTATGGTTTAGCATCAGGAGCGGCGAAACCATAGAGATTCCTATTACCCCCCGGGCGCAAAACCTCCTCGGATCTGTATGCTGATAAAGCACGAGGACGGTCTTTTCCCCGGGCGCAAAACCTCCAGGGATCCTAGACGAATATTTCCCCGGGATAAAAATCTCCAGCTCTGACCCAAAAAGGTTCCCTGGATCTGTGCGCTGATAAAACCTCCAGGTTTGACCCAAAAAGTATCCTCGGATCTGTGTGCTGATTTAGCACGAGGATGGTTTTCCTTGCGGGGGCAAAACCTCCAGGTTTGACCCAAAAAAGATCCTGGATCTGTGTGCTGATGTTGCACGAGGACGAGCTTTTCCCCCGGTTGCAAAGAGGACGGTCTTTTCCACAGGCGCAAAACCTCCAGGTTTGACCCAAAAAACATCCTCGGATCTGCGTGCTGATATAACACGAGGACGGTCTTTCCCCCGGGCTCTAAACCTCCAGCTTAGAACTCCAGGTTTGACCCAAAAAAGATCCTCGAATCTGTGTGCTGACATAGCACGTTTTTCCCCCGGGCTCTAAACCTGCAGGTTTGACCCAAAAAAGATCCTCGGATCTGTGTGCCGGCATCAGTCTCACAGGTTGTACATCCGGGTTTGCCCTTGTAGATGATAGCACATTGTTTGTCCCGAAGTGCACTGACGGAGCTGCCGATCGTGGTCAAGCCCACCGGCGGCCGTCGGCACAGCTCGCTATTCTTTGAATCGAGCAGGCTGCGTGTTGCCGCCTTGCAGAAGGCCTCTCGACCTGGGGTCGCGGAGTAGGTCGCATTGCCTTTCTCATCGGCGTGCGGGCGCAGCACCGCCTTGGCAAACGCGAAACGGCCTTCGAGCCGACTCGGTCTCCCAAGAGGCACGGCAGCCCGAGCCCGGCCAGCAGTGTGCTGCGCAACAAAGGCCTCACTCCCAACAGCAGCACCAAGCAACTCAAAGTTCCACTGAAGTTTAGATGTCCCATCAGCAGCGTAGAGAAGCTCTGGCGGCACATGGTGCGTGAGGGTGGCCGGGTCGAGCCTGCCAACTCCAATAGTCTCGGACTTGGTGAGGTTGAGTTGAAGGCCAAGCTCGAGGCCGCGGCATTGCAGGTGCGCAAGAGCCGCTCCAACGGAGGCCACATCCCCAGCGATGACACCGTCATCCAAATAGAAAATGGCCAGGTCCAGACCGGCTCGCAACTCCTGCGCCAGGCCGTGCAAAGCTGCGGCAAAGAGCAGTGGTCCGAGGGGGTCTCCCTGCTGAACGCCGCCAGCCGAAAGTAAGGCGGCAGAGCCAAACCGCAAATGGGAGGGTTTACCATAGCACCAAGTAGCCCATCTGGCCAGCCCCGGGAAAGACGCCGTTGCAGCAGTCAGTACAGCACGCCTGGAAACGTTGTTGAAGGCGTTTGGCGAAGTCAAGCTTGACAACGACCTTTCCCTGAGCAAGCTGATTTCGCTGGAGCCAAGCACGGACGGTGTGGACGGTAGCCTCCGCCCCTGCTGGAACCCCAACCCCAACCTGAACGGGAAAGAAGAAGTCGCGGGCTTCGTCACGCACAAGGAGCATGTGGCACTTACTGGTCAAGCGCCGTAGGATTTCCCCTATAGCAATAGGCCTGACTCCACCATTGGACTTTGGAACCGCCACCAGTGCTGCACCAGCCAGGACGGGCGCTACTTCAGCGCAAGCACGCCCCTGCGACAACAGCCCAACCACCGCAGCCAGCTGGTCCAGCATACCCAGAGCAGCACCAGGCGGCCCATGGACACGCAGACCACTAGGGCCCGGCGTTGTGTCAGCTGGGAAGCTCCGAAGCGCCTGGGTCACCGTGTTCGGACACACCTTTGAAGGCAGTGGCAAATCGTGGATGTCGCTGTCAGGGGCAGGCTGTGCGGGGTGCAACTTGGCTCGTCAGGACAGAGCCCCGTCAAATCAACATTTCGGTGGGGGGGGGGTCGTGCTTGAAGTTTCGGTTTTAGGGCGAGTGGACCCGCCGGGACCATAAACCATGATTCGTATATCCAGTTGCTGAGTACCTTGGCCCAAAAAAGGTTAACCTTCCAATCAGGGTAGGACTGTATACACCCCAAAAAGTTAAAGGATATTTACTCAGCTACTAAGTATGCTAAGATTTCTGGATTTAGGCCCAGCCGGTGTCACCATCGGCAGCTCAGTGCACCGCTGTGCGGACTCACGCTGAGCTCCATGAACCCTAAGCCCTAAACCCTAAACCAGAAGAATCTACACCCACCGAGCTTTACAAGGAACCCTTATAAGCCCTGGACCCTAAGTCCTAAACCAGGAACCCTAAACCATAGACCCTAGACCCTACGTCCTAAACCCTAAACCCTAAACCCTAAGCGCGACACAAGGCACCTCTTTCCATGGAACCCCCCTCCCTCGCTTCAAGACCCTAAACCTAAACCCTGACCCGAAATCCTAAGACCCTTAAGCCTAACACCCTAAATCCTGAAACCTCGCACCCTAAGCCCTAAAACGAAAAACCCTAAACCCCTAAACCCTAAACCCTAAACCACCAAACCCCCAAAACCCCAAACCCCCAAACCCTAAACCCCTAAACCCTAAACCCCTCAAACCTGAACCCTAAACCCTAAACCCCTAAACCCTAACCCCTAAACCCCTAAACCCCCAAACCCCCAAACCCCCAAACCCCAAACCCCTAAACCCCTAAACCCCTAAACCCCTTAAACCCCTTAAACCCTAAACCCTTAACCCCTTCACCCCTTAACCCCTTAACCCCTTAAACCCTAAACCCCTAAACCCCTAAACCCCTAAACCCTTAAACCCCTAAACCCCTAAACACCAAACCCCAAACCCCAAACCCCAAACCCTAAACCCATGTGAGGGCCAGGCATGAGGCACACTCAGGTCGGTCCACACCGTGCCGCCTGGCAGATTCGGCTGTGCTGGGTTTGGGGTTTAGGCTTTCGGGTTTGAGTGTTTACGGCTTAGGGTTCAGGATTTGGGGGCTAGAGCTTGGGGGCAAGGTTTGTGGTTTGGGGTTTTGGGTATGGGGTTGACGAAGTTGGGTTTAGGCTTCGAGGGTTAGAGGGTCTGGGGCTGACGGCCTGTGCTTTAGGCGGGGGTTTGCGGTTTATCGTTAGGGGTTCACAGGTGGGGCTTATGGAGCTTGGAAGGGTTTTAGAAGGGCTGATAAATCACAAGGGTCTAAACCCTAAATCCTAAACACAACCCTAAACCCTAAACCCTAAAGCCTGAACCCTAAACCCTAAACCTTTAACCCTAAACCCTAATTAAACCCTAAACCCTACCCTCTAAACCCTGAACCCTAAACCCTAAGCAACTAACCCCTGAACCCGAACCCTGAACCCTGCGGTTGCGCGTTTCGGCTTTCGTGTTTTCCCGGCCTTGACCAGCGCTCTGGCCGTTGACCAACACGTTGGTCGAGAACTTGTTGCAGAAGGCCTACGCAGTTAGGGGTTGACGGCTTAGAATAGAATTTAGTGTGAAAAAGGGGGGGGGTTCCGAATCGAATAATTACTAATATCATTCCTTTTTGGTCCCTATACAACTATACAGAAACTACACCCAAAATCCCTGTTCTAGAAATAAGGCCCCCAAAGTATTTTGGGATGAGGGCGTCACAAAACTCCAAAACCCTCAGCCCGAAAGACCCCCCGGAAACCCTCATGAAGGACAGCTGCAAGTGCGCAGCTTCGGATAGCGAGCATTGTCAGCCTTCTTAATAAAAATAGGGTTTGACTAGCCCTCTTACACTGCTACAAGGGGCGCTGCCCCGCTAAACCCTAAAACCCTAACAGCCCTAAAACCGTGAAAGCAAAAACTAAACCCTGAAACATAAACCCAAAAACCCTGAAACTTTGAAACCGTAAAGCCCTGAAGCCCCTTAAAAAAAAAAAAATAAACCCCAAAACCCTGAGACTTGAAAACCGTAAAGCCCTTAAGCCCCTTAAATTTTAAGGGGGAAAAAACATGTCAGTCCACCCGGCACTTCCAACCAGGGCCTTGATGTTGGCGCCCTGCTCGTTCTCCGGCAGTCTGTACCTTCCAGGCTTCATGTCGGGCACTTATGACCCCTACTTCTACTTACTTTTGGAGTAGACCCCGGAAAAGAAGTATATACTTGTAAGGTATAAGTAGCTATAATCGGGACCCCAAAGAAATATTAAAGTAGAGTACTCCAAAACCCAGTCGAACTTCCCATAAACCTTTCAAGTAGGGGTCTAAGGGTTAAGGTTTCTGCTTTTTTGTTTTTTGTTTAGGGTTTAGGGTTTAGGGTTTAGGGTTTCGGGTTTAGGGTTTATGGAGTTGTACCTCGGACCCTTAAGGTTGAACACTGGGTTTTGTTTGAGGAACCCTTTGGAAAATCCTGAAGGTAGTACAAGGGCCATATCGGAGTGCATTCAGGGGGAACTTTTGGGGGTACGACCTTCGGGGTACGAGCCTTACTCGGTTTAGGGTTTAGGGTTTAGGGCTTAGGGCTTAGGGCTTAGGGTTTAGGGTCTTTTTGGATAGCCCTTTTTAAGCTTTGATAAGTCCGCAGTAAGCCCACCCCAAGCTGCCAATGGAGATCCAGCCATAACCTGGAGCTCCAAAGCCTAAAGCCCTCAAACCCTACAACCCTAGCACCCGAAAGCCTAAAAGCCTAAACCTACAACGCGAAAACCCTTCAACCCTTAGCCCCCGAGCCTAGAACCCTACAACCCCAAAGCCCTCAAAACTTAAAAATCCCCCCCCCCCCCCCCCCCCCCAACCCTAAACCCTAAACCCTTAACCCCGTCAATTGATACGACTTTACATGTATGGTCTGGGGCTGCAGCCTACAAGGCATCTTGGGAAGGTGCCAAGATTCCCCCTACAAACCCTAAACCCTAAACCCTAAACCCTAAACTCGGATTAGGTTTAAGGGGTTTAAGGGCTTTCAGGGCTTTGAGGGTGCAAAGGCTTAGGGTTTAAGGGGCTGAGGGGGAGAGTTTTGGAGGTTTGGCTTGAAGCCCAAGCTCTGGATGCACCCCACCTTGGACAACCCAGAGCTGCAGAAATGTGAAATCCGAAACCCTAAACCCTAACCCTAAACCCTAAACCCTAAGCCCTGAACCCTGAACCCTGAACCCTAAACCCTAAACCCTAAGCCCTGAACCCTGAACCCTAAACCCTAAACCCCTAACCTAAACCTTAAACCCTGTTAGGGCCCTGGCCAATACTCACCCGTGGCTTTGTCTTCCTGCAGCGTGCAGCTCCGAGGTTCAAGGGTTGTTACGACTGTGGCCGTCAGCAGGGCAACTTTGCCTCCACGACCTTACTTACACTAAAATCCAAACCTCTGAACACCCTAGAGAAATACAGCCCTCAAGCTCAAATGCCCCTAGGGTTTAGGGTTTAGGGTTTAGGGTTTAGGGTTTAGGGTTTAGGGTTTAGGGTTTAGGGCTTCGCCACCAGTGGGCTTCCCAAGACCCTTCAGGTGGCACTCTGGGCCAGAGCTCTTGCGCTAGGAAACAGATGTTTGCCCACACCGAAACCTACGTGTCTCCAGGTTTAGGGTTTGGGGTTTAGGGTTGAGGGTTGAGGATTAGGGTTTAGGCTTTCATTGCGGAAGTTTAAAATCCACCCGGCTTCCACCCTTAAACCCCGCATGCCCAGTGGGCCAGAACCCTAAACCCTAAATCCTGAACCCATAAGCTTAAACCCGAAATCATGAAGCCTAAACCCCAAGCCCCAAACCCCAAACCCTAGCCCTGAACCCTAAACCCCCCTAAGTTTCAGGTTTAAGCCTTAGGGCTTAGGGCTTCAAGGTTTTCAAGGATCTTTAGGGTTTTTGGGGCTTAAGGTTTGTAGCGCCATGGGCTTACGGCCTGTGGGTTTAGGGTTTAGGGTTTAGGGTTTAGGGTTTAGGGTTTAGGGTCACGGCTGAAGGGGGTTTTAGGGGTTTAAGGGCTTAAGATTTTGCTGCTTAGAGCTTTTCAGGCTTTCGGGTGCCAGGGATTTGCGTTTCACGGCTTGGGGGTGTACCAAAAGGCCCCTAAACCCTAAACCCTAAACCCTAAACCCTAAACCCTAAACCCTAAACCCTAAACCCTAAACCCTAAACCCTAAAACCTGAACCCTGAACCTTGAACCCTGAACCCTAATCCCCCCAATGTCAGCCAAGCCGAAGATGCCCAGCGCCTTCTTCGGTTTCAGCACCGCGCCATCGCTGCCGCTCACCTGCGCAGCGGTCTTGAGGGCTTCGGGTTTGGGGTTGGGGTTTAGGGTTTGGGGTTTAGGGTTTGGGGTTTGGGGTTTAGGGTTTGGGGTTTAGGGTTTGGAGTTTAAGGTTTAAGGTCTAGGGTTTGGGGCTTCGGGTTTAGGGTTAAGGGTGCTTGTAAGCGTATGCAACTATATGGGCGAAAATAAATAGCTACGTAAGTACAAGAAAAAACAAAGATGATACATACATATTGTTGTTTATCTGTACTTCTTAATTTATGTATACAGATATATGTGTACAGGTTTCATTTTTTTGTAGGGCTGAGGGGTAGAAGGTTCAGGGCTTGGGGTTTATTCGTGACTCGGGTTCCGGGCGGGAAGCTTCGTGTGGCTGCTTGAAGACGTCGGGTGGATCTTGCAACCAACGCTAAACCTCCTTGAACCCCAAACCTCTTGAACCCTAAACCTCTTGAACCCTAAGCCTCTTGAACCGCAAACCTCTTGAACTCCAAACCTCCTTAACCCTGACCTCTTAAGTCCCCTAAGCCTCTTGAAACGCAAACCTCTTAAACTCTGCAGTTTAGGGTTTAGGGTTTAGGGTTTATAGATAAAACATCATACTTTGAATAATCCTTTGGTTTTTTGAAAGATACAAATCTATTGTGAAGATTCCCTTGGGGTTTGATATACAAACAGTGCTTTTGATATTCCCT